GGCTTACCTCGAGTCCCTGTTGGCGAAGCCAGAGGACTTCGCCTAAGGATTCGGGGCTTCGGCTGTGTAGGAAAGGTGTGGTTTCGAGTGTGTCGGGGCAGCTCTACAGAGCCGAGCGCTCAGCTCCTAGACTCTGAGCCTGCAAAAACGGTGCACCCTGTTTTCAGTGCTTGCGTATCGCAAACAAAACATTAACATCGATTTCACGCTGATGCACGGATGCACGCTCCTTGACGAGTGTCCAACCCTCCACAAGCCACGAGCAGGAGGTTGACACTGCGAGCTTGCTGGCCGTGCTCTCGCATGCAGAGGCCCGCTGCCTGGGCCGGGCTAGCAGCATGTCAATCTTTTCTATGCCCAGCCACTTCATCTGACCCCCGATCCGATTCTCTTGGATCTCACGCACCCCCGCCCCCATCCCCCCAAAAAAGAATCTGTAAGCCGTACAAAGCCGGACCGAACCTGAGTTCCTATAGGAGAGTCGGTCGATGCCCGGCCGGTTGAAAGCGGCGGCGCTCGCTGCGGCAGTGAGGCTGCCCGACAAGCTATGCGGTTTAGGGTTAAGGGCTTCGGTTTAGTAGGCGTTCAGGGTTTAGGGGTTTGGGGTGTGAGGGGTTTCGGGCTGTACGGCTGGAGGGTTTCGGGGTTTGGAGTTTAGGGGCTGACGGTGCTGAACCTGACGGGGCTCAGGGTTTTGGAACTGGCGGCGGGCCTTCAAGCGACTGAGCTCAGCATTCCTTGCACGCGGAATTTCCTGAAATGCCGGAGTTTCTTGGAGGCAGTGGTCTCGAGTGGCAGAGGCAGCAGAGGCGGAGTCGGAGAACCCGAGCACGCCGAGCATGCTCCCCTCTTCCAGGTGCTACTTCGATGTGCGGGTTCCGTGGCTTTGGGTTCAGGGCTCCACGAAAGGAGCTGTGCAACGCAGGGCAGATATTTGCAGTATGCTGACAGTTGAGATTAGCTACTTTCTCTCGAGCCTTTAGCTCCGCCAGGCAATCTGAGCTCGGGACGTTGAACCGCATCCGGCATCGCGACGGCCATGTGTGCGGCAGCCCCTCGATGGCTAGTAGAAAGGGTTTTGACCCTCGAAAGGCCTGTGCTCCTTGAGACTCTCAGCTAGGTGTAAGGGCTTCTGAACCTTAGTCTTGGAGCTGATGAAGCCTATGCACTTGTCATCCGCTCATGATAGCAATCAGGTTCTCGAGATTGGGAGGCTGGTTTCGGGATCGATTTTTGGGATTTGGTTGTGAGGTTTTCGTAGTCGTCGCTGTGCTTTCTGAGAAACTACATGGACCGGAGCTGACAAGAGCCCACATGTGTACATCCTTCATGCTTTCAGCTAACGGCTGCAAGCTGCAGCTGTCAGCCTCAAGCTTGAAGCCTTTAAACCACCATACCTCATTAGTTGGGAACTTGAACTCCGAAGCTGATACTGATACACACAGCCCCTGGATTGGCTGTTTCGGGCTAGTGATGGCTGAAAGGTTTGGAGGAGTACCTCCACGTAGCATCGGACGACCTCGTCGCCTGGGAGTTACCTGGCAGAATCTCTGAGGGCTCCTTGAGGCTGTTCACAGCGCTGCTAGTTCAACAGAGAAGCTCCTGCCAAACATGCGCACAACAAGCACCAGGGCTAAACACCAGTGTCCATCATTGGAATGACTGGCTAATCATCACAGTCGTCAAAGACAACGCCGTCGATGACGTCGTCGTCATTTTCATCAGTCATCAACAATCATCATCAACCATTATCATCATGATCATCATTACCATCATCGTCATCATCATCATCATCACCGCCATCACCATCACCATCATCGTCATCATCGTCATCCTCCTCCTCCGCCTCCTCATCATCATCATCAGCGGCATCATCTATTTGGCCCCACGTTCGTGGACATTCTGGGTCCTGTCGTTTTTGACCTTGGAGAACGACTAGCAGTCTTTTTGAATAGTCCCGGACAGTAGAAGCCCGGTTTCGGTTGTTTCTGCAATGCTATTTCGGCGTTTCACTCGGCCTTTTTACACCCAACTCCTCAAAACTGCCAGGCGATCCCTTGCTCTGGATGCGCCGCAGGCCGCGAAGCGGAAACTGGAAGGTCGGGCACAAACGGCTCGGGCATCCATTTTCATTTGCGGGGATGCTTGAGGCGCTTGGCGATAGGAAGCGGGTGTCTGGAGTACCAAAAGCATGCAGACATGAACCCAAAGGATGGAATTTTCGGACTCAGGTTCGAGGAGTTTGGGCTTAATGTTGCCATTTGAGTATGGACATTCATGACGTTTGTTTGGGGCCGGTCTTCTAAGGGTCCATCGTGTTCCACAACAAAACCAGAAGGTGCATGGCGACACTGGCACCAGATCCTGTTTGAGTATGGCCACATCTTCGGAGCAGATCTTGCCGAGAAGTACCCGGCCAAGTCTGCTATGTATTTGGGTTTGACAGGCTTTCATCTCGAGAGCATTGCAACTTCGAGCTTGATACTTTCACCCTGGCTGTTGCTGTATCTGGCTGTGGATGCCAGTGCCGGGTGCAGATTCACTTGAGAGCTCAGGGCTTCAGCCCCCATCATGTGTTCAAGGATCTTCGGAGCACCAGAACCCTTCTCAAAGCAAAGCTGAAGTCAAAAACTTCCGAAGCCAAGGCTGCGAGAGCGGACGCGACACCGACGCGCTCAACTCCGCGAGGAGCGGAGTCGCCAACGAGGCAAAGACTGGATGCTTTCAGGCTTCGGCGGCTTCGGTACATGTCAGAGTTGGATGATGGGAGTGTCGGGCTTATGGTCTGGGTATCCCCTAGATCATGAAGATCCGAGCGAAGATTGCCTCTCGAACTTCATTGAATTCGTGGATTGGATCAGGAGGTTCCGCTTCTGGGCCTGCAGGGTCGCAGGCATGTGCTTGTGCAGAATTCGCGCAGCTATGCGGGCAGGATTTGGGTTTAGGCTTCAGCATCAGAGCTCGAACCACTTTCATGATACTTTCATTGTGACCCGCAAAGCTTTCATCCTACTGCCGCAGCGCTCTCCCTAGGACATGAGTATTGATTTTGCCTTGCATCCGCAGGAAGACTTGAACACAGAATGGTTTGTTGGCAGCTGCACGAGACAAACAAGACACGCTTAGTGAGGATGGATGGCTCATGGCGGGTCTTGGAAGCCAACTCTGTTAGGAAAAGGATGCAACATGTGGGATTTCAACGAAAGATAGATTTGACAGCCAAAGTGTTCCACTTGTTGAGGCCTGCTATACACCCATGCAGAAACTCTTATGGTCCTTCAAAGCAAAGTCGAAACTGACACAAAAGAGGACTTTGCAACCTCAGCCAGGTCAGGACCTTCGATTGCCTGCAGGGAAGGTCTGGTTCGAGGCAACAGCCAGAGCCAGTCGTTCACCTAGACTTCGGTTTTTAGGTCTTATGGTTTCAGGTCTGGGTTTGACGGCTTCAAATGGTAGTTGTATCCATGTATGTCAGAGGTGCTGGAGCGTATGTTATAGCTGTCAATGAAATGGTGCTGCCCAGGGAGCGCATGCATGCCGTATGCGAGGTGATGGTATGGAAACACAGGCGCAGGTTGAACTCACAGGGAATGCGCAAAACCCTAGATCCCCTGGAAGACCATCAAGACAAGGAAGGGTTTGGAGTTTAAGGCTCCGGGTTTAGGGTGTCGGGGGCTGTGTCAGGTTTCTGATATCTGGTAGTTATGAGCTTTCCAGTCAGATGCTTCCTGCTTCGAAGCACTGAGTGAACCTCGTTAAGCATGTTGTTTCAACACCATCCACAGCTGTTGAAATCAGAAAGCCGAAAGTATTCCCTTTGGCTGCATGCATCATGGTTTGCATCGCCTCCGGCTTCAAATGTTCAGTAGCACGCCTCATGTCTGCCCCCCNNCCCCCCCCCCCCCCCCCCCCCGAGCGCATCGCAGAACCTCGAGCGTCAACTTCTCGAGCCGTAGTATGAACCCCTACACGGCGAGCCCTGCGGCAGTTCACCTGTCCTGAGCATCAAACACTCCAGAACCTTCTGCGCAGTGAAGGCCACGACAGATTGGCAGGAAGTACCCAGAAATGCGATCTGTGCTGCAGGGGCCTTCCAGTGTAGCGGAGCGGTCTTGAGCATTTTGGATGGTTGGGGCTCTGTCATGGGGTTCAGATTCCGGGACCATTCCAAGCTCAGTCGTCGTCTGGCCCGAAAGCGCACACACACAAAGTCCCCCCAGCTTATAACTTGAGCTTCGGTTCAAGCTCAGAGTTGAGGGCTTCGACGCACGAATGAATGCTTTGTTGTTGTCATTGCCATTGAATTAAAGCCGTTACTACTGTTGCTCTTTGATACTACATTGACATCTTACAGCCTGAAGAGACCGGCTTAGGCGGGCCTGGAGTATCACTGCGACATGCAGACTGGCAGGACAGACCGACTGATCGATGAGAAGGTTGTAGGCTTCAAGGATCCTGGGCCCTTTAACGTTTTGGCGGTGGAGTTGTTCGGGTACAGCAGCCTGTTCCGTTGGGGTAGCGCTATGTAGTGACGTTGTGTCTACAGACCGGGGCGGTTTTGTTATGTTGTTGGGTGCCAGGACCCCTATTGTGATTTGAGCGGCTTCCGTGGCTGTGGATTGAGTGATCTAGACCAAGGTCTAACGCCTTGAACAGACCCCCAGCTCTAGATTCCGAGCCCCGAGGCACTCGACATTGGTCACAATTGTCAGCATTATTGTTAGCCAGTGCAGTCGTCATCGTCGTCGTCATCATCATCATCATATTATCCCTCTTCTTCGGCACTGTCATCATCGGCATCGCTGTCGTTGCCGTAACGAGGCTAACCCTCTCTGTGGCTTGTGCTTCCAGGAACTTCGCCCGACTGGCCATGTGAACTTTGGCGGCGGTCTGCAGTTGAAGGAGGCTGCCTTGTTTCCCCGGATACATCCAGCTCCCGTAGCAGTCTTGGTTCAAGCTTCGGTAGTGGGAGGGAGCACCCTTCCCACTTAGCTGCAGCGGCATGACTCCGGTTAAGGGCACCTTTGCAAGGGAAGGGAGGGGAAGGAACAGTTCGAGGGTTGAGGTGCTGAGGGTTTCGAGAAAACCTCGGCAGCCTGTTAGCGTCATTGGCTCCTCAATCTGCTTCGCGAGGTCGGGTTCTGTGAGGGCTTTATCCCAGATGATTTCCCACAGATGTTGGGCCCAGGAAATCCCTAAGCTTGTGGCTTGACCCCTCCAACCCTCGGACAGGAGCCCAAAAGACTGCAGCCTCAGGCCTTGCAGTGCACTGCTCCTTATGCGATAATGTCGTCAACCTGACTAAACTCGCTTGAGCCTGCCCCCGAGCCCCAACTCCTGCAAACATTCATACCCGAGAGCTGGGCAGGTCCCGCTGCCTGCAAGTTTGCAGAACTCAAAGCGAGGCGCTAAAATTCAGAGCCCGGTCCCAAAGTGCTTGCAAATGTTTCGAGAGGACACTCTTGAACTGCCAAATTCTAGCTTCAGGTAGCTGAAGTTGAAAGTTGGAGTTGGAGGCTCTGAAGGTTTGATCCTGTGATCCCGTGGTGTAGGGCAAAGTTGCCCTGCTCAGAAGACTTGCGACCTTGCTGCGCGATCCAAATTGAATAGGGAGGCTGCTCGAGCTCGAGCAACATCTTTGCCTATTTCGAGAGTGATTGGCTGCAAGTGCCATACTTCTCCCATGTCGCAACCCTGCGGTCTGATGGTACACCTCAAACCAAGAGTTTTGGGGCAGGGAAGGAATCACGCATCCATGCGGCAAGCGAGACTGCACCTCAGTCCCGGGCTTTACTGCAGGAGCCTCAACAAATAGTATGCTTGATGCTTAAATTCATAAAAGCCCTCATGCTTGGGTCAGGTTACCATTCTATGAAGCCTCAAACTCTCACCTACGACGACAGGTTCAAAGGAATGTTCAGCATGGTTTGAGGTACGGGTGACTCGTTTGTAGGGCCGACTTTTGTGGCTTGATTGCAGAACATGAGCACTTTGACTTGGAGCATAGAGCATGGATTTATCTAGCTTGGGATACCAGCGGAGGTGCTAAGTCGTCAGGTGTCTCTGCCGCGTCGCTTGCAAGAAGCGCAATTCGCACTGCTCGAAGCTTTACATTCAAGCTGAGTTAATTCCGCAGGCCGGGAACACCGAAGCCGAGGTCCTGAAATCTTAAGCCAACGCGCCCTGACTCTCTTGTAGCTTATAAACATTGATCTTCTGAACCTTTGAGAAAGCCTGCATCTGAATCTACATCCCAAGCCCCACCCCGGGCTCACCTGCACCTGAAAGCCAGCCCCAAGGCCCTCATGCCTTGTTTCAAACGGTTAGCTCCCTCCACCTCTACAGTTATCCACGATTGAAGTCTTCAACCTTCAACCCCCAGCTCGCATCTTCCATCCGAAAGCCCTAAGCTGGGGTGCACGCCATGCAATCGGAGCATCCAGAGGTGGATGAACCCACTCTCAGGCAACTGGGCCTTTCCGGGACACGAAGTTACCATACTAGAGAATTGTTGCTGCTGCCTCTTACCACAACAACAACTGCATCTACAACTACAGTGTCCTCTTCAGTAACTTCCATAACTTCAGAAACTACCGCAAGCAGGATAAGTACAGTAGCTACAGTGACTGCAACTGCAACTACAATTACAGCGGCAACAGCAACAACAGCAACAGCAGCAGCAACCGCAACAACAACAACAACAGCTACTACTACTACTACTACTACTCCTCCTACTCCTACTCCTACTCCTACTCCTACTCCTACTGCTACTGCTACTGCTACTCCTACTCCTGCTGCTACTGCTACTGCTACTGCTACTCCTACTCCTACTCCTACACCTACTACTACTACTACTACTGCTAATGCTACTGCTACTGCTACTGCTACTACGACTACGAGTACTACTACTGCTACTACTACTACTACGACGACGACGACGACGACTACTACTACTACTACTACTGCTGCTACTGCTACGACCAGTACTCGGACGCAGCATGTCCAAAGTCACAAGATGCAGAGTCGCTCAAC